GGAGAGGGGAAGAGAGTCTTAAGCAGACTCTGTGCTGAGTACAGAGCTGTATGTGGCACTTGACCTCACAACCCTCATGTCATGACCTGAACAAAACAGAGGATCCCCTGCTTAATTGATGGCACCACCCAAGGGCCCCTAAAATTATCTGATTTCTGACTCTGACTCTTGATCTCAACTCAGGTGCTGATCTCAGGGTTGAGAGTTCAACCCCATTTTGGGTTCCTCACTGGGTTGTGGAACCTACTTAAAAAAATGATCTGATTTCTCATCATTCATTGATATCATCTTTAATGTCTCGAAGTATGATCTAACATATTCTTCCCTCTTATATATCTGCATTTTTTGAAATTAAAAAAAGGATTGTGCTCAAAGTAAGGCTATGATCCAAATAAACATTGAGGTGTAATGTGAAATTCACGTAACATACAATTCACTAACTGTACAATTCAGTGGCATTTAGTACATTCAAAATGTTGTGGAACTACCACCTCTTTCTAGTTACAAAACTTTTTCATCACTCCGAGATATCCATCCATCCCATCCACAACTTAATGGGTACTTAGTAAATTTCCATTCTCTCTTCCCCACCTCTGCCTGGTCCACTGGCAACAACTAATCTTCTGTCTCCATGGATTTGCTTATTTTGGATATTTCATATCAAATGATCATGCAATATGTGACCTGTTTTGTCTGGCTTCTTTACGAGGGTCCCTATTTCTGCACATCCTGGTCAATACTTGTTATTTTTCAATTTTTTATTATAGCTATCTTAGGGGTGCCTGTGTGGCTCAGTTGGTTAAGCACCTGCCTTTGGCTCAGGTCTTTTCACATAGATATCTAGATGGTTGTCCCCAGCTATATTCATTGAAGATATTATTCTTTCTCCACTAAATGGTCTTGGCACCCTTGGCAAAAATCAATTTGCCATAGATATTTGAGTTTATTTCTGGGCTCTCTGTTCATCTATATGCCTACTCTTATGCTGGTGCCAAACTCTTTTTTTATTTTTTAAAAGATTTTATTTATTTATTCATGAGAGACACAGAGAGAGAGGCAGAGATATAGGCAGAGGGAGAAGCAGGCTCCCTGCAGGGACCCCAGTGTAAGACTTGATCCTGGGATTCCAGGACCATGCCCTTAAGCTGAAGGCAGATGCTCAGCCACTGAGCCAATGAGGCGTCCTGGTACCTGGCTTACATGCTCTGTCTCTCTAAAATAAATAAATAAATCTTTGAAAAGAGTAAAAATGTCATTTAAGTGTCTTCAAAACTCTGCTGTTTCTGGTGAGAAGCTGGTTATTATTAGTATTCTTATTATAATTTTTATGGTAAAACACTTTTTTTCATTGTTACTGTTGTTTCCCTTAAAGTAATATGTCTTTTCCCTCAACTTTCAACTTTTTTTCTTTATCAAATGCCAATTTGACTATTGTGTACTTAGATGTGGCTTTCTGTGCTCCACCTGAGGGTCACTGAGCTTCCTGCCTCTGTGGATGAGAAATGTCATCTAGCAACAGGCTTATGAAAAAAGGAACCCAGAACTGCAGTTCTTTCATGGTCAAAAGCAGTGTCATGTGGGATACAGATAGGTAATAAACCCTGTAAGTTCTCCACAGAGTGGTACTGGAAGGCAGAGCCATCCCAATACACGTTCCTGAGACAAATTAGGAGATGTGGCATTCCTTTGGGCCCACCCCCCACCAGGAGCTGGCTTTGCATTTCTCTCTCTAGTCACAGAGTGATCTGTCTCTTCCAGTGAGTCTGAGGAGAGGACAGGTAGGGGAGGAAGCAGATCTTGGGGGGAGGAGAGGCGATTCCTTGAGGTCACGACAGAGATATTTTATTTTGTTTCGTTTCTTAGTTTTCACGACAGATTTTTAAGCAAAAGAAGACATTTTCCTCAAAGTGGGGGGTTGCTGGATATCCCCCCAGACAAAGGAGATTTGAAGGAATTGGCTTGTTTAAGTTGACTTCAGCTTGCTAAGGAAGTTTTTCTGAATACTTGTCACAGTATGGCTGCCACAGGAACCTAGAGGATTTCTCACCAGGGAGGTGTCTGAGCAGAAGCTCACCACAGAGTGGGCATTAGGGAAGTGTTAGCCTTCTTGCTGGCTTGGCTGTCGGGAGGCCGGGGCTCAGTCCAGGCTCTGTCCTAACTCTGGTACCTTCAGTCAGTTACTCTGCCTTTCTGGGATTTTGTCTCCCCCTCATCTCTCTCTCAAAGGAGGAGAGACTGCAGTGAGTGTTCTCAAACTTGTTTTAAACCACAGAACCATTTCCTCGAAGTAAAGGTTACACCTAAACTGAAAATGCATGTGTCTGGGCAACTTTAAAAAATAGTATTTTAAATTTTGCTTTCTGCATTTTCCTTTTTGTCTTTTTATTCAATCAAGGAACCAGGGCTTTGGTATGCCTTAGATGCACAGAGTTTTCTTTTTTTTTTTCAGCTCCAAAGCAGAAGCTGTGTGACCTCATTGCTCTTCCCTTGGACAAGTGCCCAAGGTCCTTAAGAGATTGTGTTGCTTCAGGCTTTGGGCATGAGATGTGAAGGGGCATGACTTTGAGGGTTACACGACCCCAGATGATTTACCCTATGTCACACAGCGTGTGGTGTGGTGTGTACTGGGTGCAGGAGGGCCTTAGCCCAGAGCTGGAACTCAGGCTCAGATTCCAGGCAGCACCCGCCTGTACTAGTGTCTGAACCTTGGAGATATGGCTGCTGAGAGTTTCTGTGGAGGGGAGTCCAACACAGGGAGATCCTTGGTTAGCAGAAAATCACATCCTCTCCGTGTTTCCTCCAAGCCATGGACTTCTTAATGTTGAAGAGTCCAGGCAGTGTTGGGCTTTGTGAACGCCAAGAGTGACCATGTTGGCCTGAAGAGCAGAGGCGATTCTCCATCTTTCCAGACCATGTGAGCCTGTCTGGTTCTCACTTGAGTCTGCACAGGTGGGACCTTGCGGTCATAACAGAGAATGTTTCTGGGTTGTGTGACTGGATGGGTGTTTAGAGTCCAATGTAGATTGCCTTCAGGCAAGTATGTAATGTGGTTTTTCCTGCCATTTGGATCCGTACGATGACATTCATACCTGCTATGTTTTCAAATTTATTTTGTTTCTTTTAATTTTAAAAAATATTTTGTTTATTTGAGAGAGGGAGAGAAATACAGAGAGAGTATATGGGGGATGGGGGAGGCAGAGAGAGAGGGAGAAGCTCAGCAGGGACCCTGACACTGGGCCTCATCCAGGGACCGTGGATCATAACCTGAGCAAAAGGCAAATGGTTAACCGACTGAGTCACCCAGTGCACCTATACCTCCCACTAGTGAAGCCACAGAAAATAAGGCTGCCCTCTACCCCAGGTGAAGAGGATGCTCCAGTAAACAGAGTTTGATAACTTCTAGAAAGTAAATGGCTAAAGTCATTTCCAAATCCCATACACTGCTGTGCTAGAGTCCCATGCGATGCTATTCTTACTGACTGTGACCCACCACAAAAATAAATAGAAATACTTGCTTCCTGTGGACTTCCCACAGAGATGTAGGCACCATGGGCTCCTGTGAAGGAGGGAGGAGGGGTTAGATGATTTAGGTGACATTCAACAGTGCCAGGTTCACCTGGGCTCAGGTGATGGAGCCTGCATTCTGTTTACTGTATACCCCCAGTTAATGCCTGGCACTCAGTAGTCGGCTCTGAATCAGCATTTGCTTTTTGGGTGATGGGAAGAAAATTGCGCTTTCCCGTCCTATTGTAGAGAGGAGCCTTTTCTTTTCTTTCTTTCTTTCTTTTTAATATTTTATTTATTTATTAATGAGAGACAGAGAGAGGCAGAGACACAGGCAGAGGGAGAAGCAGGCTCCATGCAGGGAGCCCGACATGGGACTCGATCCCTGGTCTCCAGGATCAGGCCCTGGGCTGAAGGCGGTGCTAAACTGCTGAGCCACCCAAGCTGCCCAGAGAGTTGCCTTTTCTAACTCAAAAGGCTGATATAGCCCAAGATGGCCAGCTGGGAGTCTAGTCTAGAAGGTCGGCGGGGCCAAGATGGACAGGTTGAGAGGGACTCTGCCTACTGAGTGACCAGGCAGCCAAGGGACCTGGAGCACATGTGGAGACACACTGGGCTAGATGTGAGGGGTTGAGCTGCCCTGCCCCGCTGGTGGATGGGGCCAAGGGTTCTGGAGCACTGCCCCACCAGCCCTGTCCTCATGGATGCTGCCTTGTGCTCTCACAGACCTGGTGTCTCTGAGTCTCCTCTGTCTCAGGGTGGGAGCTGGGCTGGCACGCCAGTGGTTAGGCCCTGCTGGAACTTAGGTGTTCTAGGTAGAAGGGATATGAGGAAGGGGCCAGCTCAGATGAGTGTTGTCTGGAAGGGACAGGAGTTGGTGGCCAAAGAATGCTCTCAGTGGTCAGCAGGGATGGACAAGAAGGGGCAGCCAGGAGATTCAAGGCCGAGCTGGTCCCTGAGCTCAGAAGAGGTCAGAGAGGGAACTCAGTGGAGGAGAGATGAAAAGCTCCTTGTGAGACCCCGGCCCAGCCTGTGCCAGCTTCCTCGGCTGTGGGAGAGAAATGTCCTGCCTGAGGAGGCCCCTGTCGGTTCTCAGCAAGGTAGGTCCTAGAGCTGCACCCTAGATTGTGCCAGCGTGGGTCCAGGACCCATGGTGTCTATCCCCTAGCTCCCTGCCAGAGAACACAGGGGGAGGAGGTAAAACGTTCACCCTGAGCCCAAGGACCAGAGAGGCTGATGCTTTCTCCTGCTAGTGCTCAGCTTCAGGCCTGGCACAAGGGCAGGCTCTGAGAGACAGGTGTGGGTAAGGAGGAGCTGGAAGGAACTTTGCATGGCGCTGAGGGGAGATGGGAGGAGGACGAAGAAGAGGAAGTGGAAGAGCAGAATTGTGTCACTGGCCTTGTCAAAAGCACAGAGTTGATGTCAGGGAACGAAGGTCAGTGAATAAATAAGAAATGGGCCCTTCAAACTCACTTAAGAGACTTTTAATTGCTTGCTGGCACCCTCCCTCCACCCTTCCCAGTGTGATTCTGGATCAGCTCTAGAGCAGATAGTCTGGTTACTGCGGGTGGAGCTTCTTCATGGTTTCCTTTATCCAGGGCAGGAAACTTGAGATTTTGGTGTAGGCCCGGGGAGGTCTCCCATTTTTTAGTCCATAGGAGACAATGCCTTGAGCCACATTGTTACACACGAGAGGGCCCCCAGAATCTCCCTGTGGACAGAGATAGAGGAGGAGTGAGCCTGCCCTCCTAGGCCCCTCTGAGAAGCCTGTGTTGCGTGGCCTCCATGAGAGCTAAGAGGGCAGGGCCGGCCTGGACTTTGTCACTGCTACACTTCACCCCAGGTGGCAGCTCCCTCTCCTCCCCTGGTCCCGATCCTCTGATGAGGGACTGCTGGCTTCACTCTACTCTTTAGGGGCTGACAGCATGCAGGCCAAGCCTGTAACCCAGGTGGGTGTCAGCTCTGAGGAGCCCCCTGGTTTTCACCACTGCCACACCCAGCATCAGTGGCCGGCTTGGGGCAGAGTGCTGCAAATGCATCCTTCTGGAAGAGCATGGTTTGAATTCATCCTAGGCCTTGGCAGGCTTGCAGAGGTGCTTAGGTGCCTTCATCTCTGGCAGCTCCCCCTCTACTCCTCAGAAGGATCACTGGTTATATTTCCAGATCCCAGGTCCTCCCCAAACACCCCTGTCCCCAGAGCCATGCTAAGTAGACACTGAGTCTCACCTGAAAGGAAGACTTGGTTTCCTTTGGATTCCCCACGCACAGCTGAGTGGTGCTGTCATAATACTTGGGTAAGAGGAATTCGCACTCTGAATCCTTCTGCACTTCCAGTGACACCTCCTGCAGAGTGTCTGGGTACCTGCGTGTCTTGGCCTCAATCTGCCCCCAGCCGGCCACACTGCACACCTGTCCTGGCCTCACCCGGGCCTTGCCCCTGGGCAGGGGGAGAGTCTTCACAGCCGCAGTCAACTTGGCCTTCCTCTCCAGCTGACGGGAAGAGGTAAGAGTGTCCAGCTCAGCCAGTGGCCTCTGGGCCTGACACCCCGATGAGGCGGCAGTGTCTTCTCTCTCCCGTGAGCCTCTGGGACTGGACAGGTGGCCAGCATGGGAAGGATGGCAGGGACAGGTCCCAGTGGGAGGGAAACAGTCTGGACCCAGGAGGCCAAGAGCTGCAGGGAGGTTTCCTTACCAGCAGTAGCATGATGTCACTGGAGTAGTTCTTTGGACTATAGTCTGGGTGGCGGATGGCTCTTCTCACGGGGATGACCTGCTGGGTCTTCTCCTGTTCCTTGATGTTGTGGGCGCCCAGGGTGACTCTGATGGAGCTGCACAGAGAGCAGAGTGGGGTGTGGGGGTGTGGAGTCACAGGGTACAGCCTGGGAGTCGAGAGGGCAGGTGGCAGCCAGGGCAGGGCAGCTGAGAGGGAAATCAAGGTGATAGAGGGAAATCAAGGCAGTACTTAAGCTGAGGGGAAACTGAGGCAACAGGAGGGGCCGTGATTGAGCTCTCTGTGCCTTCTGCTTCTCAGCAGCTGAGGTAGGATTCTGGAGCCGATGGTGAGTGTGCCGGTGGGTCTTAGGGGACAGTTTCCCACAGAAACGTGACATTGCATGAGTTGGCATATGATGGCAAAGCATGCCCCAGCGGAGCTCAGCGTGGGGGGTGGGAGCTGGTAGGAAGGCAGGGCTCCCTGCAGGGGTTTTCAGGGCAGTCCAGGCTGTTTAGTACTTCTCACCTTCCCCAACAGTGAGCGGCTGTCAGCACGAACATCGCTTGTATCAGGAACCCACCACACTTGATCTGCCCGCTCGGGCTTTCAATCTGAAGTAATGCCATATAGGGCCGTGAGTGGGGCTTGGCCTCATGTCCCCCGATGATCTCTCCTGAAGGAAAAATTCTGTTCTGCTCTTGTCTACCCACTGAATCTACCAGGCAGGCATGCCTGATTTGGGGCAGCAGGTAAGGTGGAGGACCTGGACTTCTTCCCCTGGGAATTTTGAGGGCAGCAGTCTCGGGCTGTGCATCTGTGTTCTACACATAATCAGAGGGGACCACACCTGTGTTAGGAATAGCAACGTCCTAGAGGCTCCAGAAAAATCCCTCTCCTGACTTTGCCTTGTTTCAAGCGAGTTTCTAAGGCCCCTGTCATCCTGTGAAGTCTTTTCCAGTGGCTGGGATCTAAGTTTAGTTAAGTAGATGTTGTGTGACATTGCCGATTTCCTAAGGGCCTGACAGGTCATAGGTGCCTAGTAAGTGCTGGTTGGCTGCACGAAGGCAAGGCTCCCCGGCGTGCTGGTAGGATTCTGGAAAGCAGAGAAATTGAGGTCTGCCAAGGTCTGCTTGAAAGAGGGGAGCCTCTAAGAGCCTGGGAAGAAAAGCAGAATTGGAGAGAGGGATGAGGAGCCTTGAGGCAGAGGCAAGGCAAGAGCAGTCTTCTGGGGACAGTGATCTATCCAACTGTTGGGTCAGCTGAGCCCTGGGCTTCACTCCTAAGTAGATGCTGAGGGAAGCCCCTTGCTCTGCCCTCTGCAGGGGGATTTATGGTGTTCTCTTTCCAGTTTCTCACCCTCTGCTATTCCAGGAAAGTTCTAATTTCAGATGGCAAAGGTAGAGGCTGGGGAGGGGACAGTAGTGACGGGCTCTTAAGAGACAGCCTTTTGCCCCGCTGTTCCTACTGCTAGCTTATCAGCATCACACTTGAGAGGGGGAGGCAGGATGAAGACTGGGGTTGAGAATGTTCCTGGTGGTAGGTGGATAGGGGTGTTCAGAAGGGACAGGAAAGCTGTGCCACTGTGCAATGGGGTCGGGCCTCTTAGGGTGGGGGTGGACACTCACCTGCCTTGGCCCCAGAAGACAGGCAAAAGGCCAGCAGGAGCAGGAGCAGGAGTGGCTGCATCTTCTCCGGGAGGCTGCTCAGGTCGGAGCTGCTGGTGCTTCTGCACTCCTTTATAGCTCCTGGGAGAGGAAGGGGGTGCAGATGGGCTCCCTGACCTTGAACTCCTCTCTGGTTTTATGGTGCTTCATCCTTAGAAGGCTTTCTATGAAAGCTTCCCTGCCCCCTGCCCCTCTGTCTGATGACGTTCTCTGGGTGGTTGTGTGAGAATCATGCTGTGACCACATCAGAACCCACACCAGTTGACTCAGAGCAGACCACTTAAGTTCCAGCTCAGAATAGGACAGCAAGCATATCAGGTGGGGACTGGAGGATGTGGTATCAGCCTGTAAGGGTACTAGAGTCCCCAGTGATAGGAACACCACTGCCTCATTTCCATGCTGCTAGGTCCATCAGGATAATTTCCTTAGCGCTGTGTATTTGGGCCCATGTCTGCATGATCCAGCATACTAGAGATGTGTTTCCTTCCCTCAGAGAGCTGTCTGTCTGGTGGAGGAGTCAGAAACAGTAGCGCCCATGGTCCAGCATGGTAAGCGCCAAGAAAGTAAGAGCATGATCTTTATCTACTAAATCCTCATGGCCACCATTCATCACCCCAGCTTCTTTCCTATGGATTTTTATCTACTGTTTTTAAATGACAAACACTCAGAGTAATAGAGTCCACCTCTCTTGTCAATGTTTTTAACCAAAGTCCTGTACTTGACACTAATTGGCTTCAGTTAATGAACCACCATGACCCTAGAGATTGAATCAACTGACTGAAGACCACTCATTCCTCCTTTGTGAAGACTGGGGGCAGTCATAGCCAAGCCCCCCAAGACAAGTCAACTAAGACTGGGGAAAGGTTGGTTCCCCAAAAGAAGTTCAGGTGACTAGATTGCCAATAACATGAAGTGGAAAAGTATGCTGGGCAACCAAAACCAAGAGTTGTCCTTTGAGTATTGTCAGTCGTCTGACCAGAGAGCCACACTTCTGAGATAGCAGGTTTGCCACATACTAGTCTCACATTTGTTAAGCAAACTCTGCTGCTGATCTCACTACCATTGGATGTGAGGGGCCGTGGTTTCTAAACAGCCAAGCCCCGTTCAGTTCAAAGAACGGCTAAGTATTACAATCCCTTAATCCTGTAACTTAAGTATTTTCTTCATGCTCTTAAGAACCTACTAGTCTCTCCTTCCTAGTTAGTGAAAAATTTAGCATGCAATTGCTTCCTACAATCGTTGGAAAATTTGAAAACTAATATAAGCAAAGAGAAAATGAAAATGATCTAATTTCTTTCTTTTTAAGGATTTATTTTATTTTTATTTTAGAGAGAAAGAGAAAAAGCAGAGGGGAGGATCAAAGGGAGAGGGGAAGAGAGTCTTAAGCAGACTCTGTGCTGAGTACAGAGCTGTATGTGGCACTTGACCTCACAACCCTCATGTCATGACCTGAACAAAACAGAGGATCCCCTGCTTAATTGATGGCACCACCCAAGGGCCCCTAAAATTATCTGATTTCTGACTCTCTGACTCTTGATCTCAACTCAGGTGCTGATCTCAGGGTTGAGAGTTCAACCCCATATCCCTCTTCCCCGGCTCTGCCCCTCCTTTCCTTACTGTCTCTCTGTCTCTCAAGTAAATAAATAAATAAATCTTACAAACAATACGATACCAGTTACAATGCTCAAGAAAAGAGAAATATTCTGAAATAAATCTCTCAAAGCATGTATGGGACTTATCTTCTGTATGAGATGAACATAACTGAATGATTTTGGTATTCTTGAAACACAATATTATAGTGATGGAGAACATTTTAGTGGTTGCCAGTTGTTAGGGTTTGAGGGTCAGGGAGGGACGTGGGTGTATCTATAAAAGTGCAATTGGAGGAACCCTTGTGATGATAGAGCTGTTTTGTGCTTTGCCTGTTCAATGTTAATAACCCAGTTATGATATTGTACCATAGTTTTGCAAGGTGTTACCATTGGGTTAACCAGATAAAGTGTCCTTGAGATATTGCTGTATTATTTTTTGCAACTACGTGTGAATCCACAATTATCAAAATAAAAAGTTTGTTTCACACAAATTTTAAAAATACAAAAAATGGGTATCTTATTCCCTGCAATTTGTTGAATTCATTTTATTAACTTCTATTCAGCACAACCCCCCACTGCAGGTTAGTATTGTCACAAATTACACCTTTATACCTGTGTGTCCATTAACATAGCTGGGATCTGATTCTAAAGTGTGCGATTTTATCCACAGCTCTATAAATGTCATCCTATATGTGTACATATGTACATATATATTTATGTGTGCTTACAGTTCTCTTGTGGTCTAGTGGCTCGGATATATTTATATGTGCTTGTGTATATAGTTGTATATGCATATGGTCCATGTTTCTGTTTGTTTTGATCCCTTAATTTTTTTCCTTCTGGCCATGATTTTGGTACACTTTTGTTCGGAAGAATTTTCAGTATTCAAACAGAAGCTGTGTGAAGTCAAATATTTCCCCCTCATTATGAAAGTTGTTGAGATCATTAAGATATTCAGAGACCTTTGTGGGCAACCAGATGTGAAGAAGACATGGCTTTGAGGGTGACAGGAACCCAGAGGAAGATATTTCTTCTGTGTGAAAATGAGTATGGTATTAGTGGTGTGTGTTATTTGGTCGGAGAATATTCATCCATAATTGTGACTGAAGTTAACTCCAAAGCAGCATCCCAGATTGGCGTCAAGACCTGGGGGGAAGTGGCAGCTGGGCATGCCTGGCTAGACAGACTCACACAGCGTCAAACAAGAGTCTTATACCACATGTGTGGTCTTCAAGCTAAGAGCTGAATGACTTTGAAGGTCACTGTGGGCTTGGAAACTCAGTGTGTGGCAGTACCCATGATGATCTGAAGTTTGAAGGCTGTTCTCCATTTTTCTGGCCCCATGTGAGCCTCTCTAATCTGATTTAACGAAGATTGGGAAATGTATCTTTTCCATGTCAGAGTTTATATTGGACTGTATATCCCATAGGGTGCCCTAAATGTAATCCATGAAGAAATGGCTGCCCTCGTTATATTTTTCCATCCTCCATCTCTCCTGCATCCAGAAGTAGGTCTTCAGTGACCCCCGCATTATAAACTTCAATCCTAGGGTCAAATGTGACAACATACATGAAAACTGGAAAGCTGTAAGACAAATGAATATGAACCTTGAACAAGATGATTTTCATTTGGGTGGATTTCCTATACAGATTCAGGCCAATCTGACCAGGCTGAACAAGGAAGGGGACTTGGGGAAATTCTGGGGAACATCCTTTGGCCTCAAGTTCCATTTGCTCATGGACAGTGCCTGCCGTGCTCACTTCTGAGCCTCCAGTGCCTGGAACATAGAGGTGCTCAGGATCTGTTATTTGCTGATTGGTAGCAAAGTAATGCTGTCCAGTTCTGTTGCAGAAACTCTCTCCCTTGCTGAACATGTGGACAGGAAGGGTCTTAGACCAGAAGCAAGGTTACCGTGGGTGACCAAAGACAGGCTGAAAAGGGCCAAAGCTGTGGGTGAATGGCCTATGAGCATACTCTGGCCCCTTGGAGGATGTGGGAATGGATATGAGGGGCTCAGCCACAGAAGAGGTGTGGAAAAGAGTCCAGCTGGGTCATCATCACATGGCAAGAGTTTGTGAGAAGGTCATGAGGGGTAGAAGAGAGAAAGAAGCAGAAAACGGGAGAAATGTGAGCAGAGGGAACAAAGGCAGACTTGGCCTATAGCTGCTACCAAGTGACTGCTGAATAAATAAAGGTGAAATCATTTCATTCTAGAAATGAATCTGTATTAAGGCCTTGGCAGCCTCCATGCAGGGAGGTCTGGACTCTTCCTCCAGGACAGCGGTTGGTCACAGAGGGAGCTTTGTTGAGTCCCTGTTTTCTTTGATCTCTATTTCCAGGGCAGGAAGGTCAGTATCTTGAAGACCCGCAGGTGGTCCATTTTTCATCCAAAAAGACAATGCCCGGAGCTGCATTGTTACAAGCACTGCCTCTGGAGCCCCCTGTGGGCAGGGAGAGGAAGGATTGAGCTGGCTTTCTGCTGAGTCCTGCCCTCCCAGTGCTGCCCTGGTGTGGGTGGTCTCTGGGAAGGGGCTGTGGGGGGAATCAAGATCAGTCCTGGGGCCCCCAGCCCTGGCCTTCAATGTTCTTTCAGCTTGATCCAGGCCTAGCTTCTGCCCCCAGAGCAATAACTCCAAAATAGCTGCCTAAGCTTATGTGGGCCATGCTTTCACAGAGCTGTGACCCAGAACTTGGCTCTCCTAGGAGAAACCCTTGCTTGGGGCTGCAGAGCCCAGGAGGATTTGCCACCTTCCTCAGAAAAGGCATAGTTAAGTAACCAGTAGCTGCACCAGTGACCAGTCCTACTGACATGTTTATCTCTATACTCCTCTCAGAGGGGCTGGTGTTTTCTGAATCATCTAGCTTAGGGGATGTGATTTTCAAAAGTACATTTCCAGATAAGGTGCTGTATTAGTTTCCTATGACCACTGCAATAAATGATCACCAGTTTGATGGCTTGAAACAACAGAAATACATTCTCTCACAATTCTGGAGGCCAGAAGCATCTATTTTGCAGGGCTGGTGTCAAGATGTCAGCAGGGCTGTGTCCCCTCTGGAGGGACTCAGGGAATCTATTTCTTCCTTCTTCCAGTTTCAAGAGTACATTCCTTTGTTCATGGCCCCTTCCTCCTTTTTCAAAATATAATTAGAGGAGCTACAAATAAGCCAAGCTAGGAAAAAAATAATATCACCTGATATCTAGTTACAACCACCTAATTACAACCACCAATGATTTGGTATATATTTTAGTAGGTTTTTTCTTGTGCAAGTATATATACTTAGAAAATGAAAAAGGGATAATGCTACACGTAAGATTCCCCCCCCCCAGTTTTATTGAGGTATAAATGGCATACAGTGGTTTATAAGTTTAAGGTGAAGAGCATAATGACTTGACTTATATATATTGCGAGATGATTACCAAAAATAAGATGAGCTAACATACATTATCCTTCTAATGTGATCTATCTTGGTCTTTGTGGTGTAGGGAGGGGTTTTGTGTTTTAGGATTTTTCTCAGTGGTGTCTTG